CACCCTGTTAAGTTACGGGCAGCAACGGGAGTAAGAGCAGCACGGAGTTGTTTACTAACTTCTGCCTGGAAGTACATGCTTGTTACAAACACTTTTATTTTAGGAAGTTTTTATTCCTAAATACCAAATGGCATCTCTTTATCCTCCTTAATAACATGGGGGAACATTTCTTCCTGTGCATCTTAAACCTCTGCTCGAGCCGTGTAACTACTGGTGTTAAGTGAAGACCATTACTACAATGCACCCCAGCCCGCCAGATATTCCCACGGTGGACGGCAACTGAGCTTTGCTTCGAGCAGAGATCTTTCCAGAGCAGCCTACAGCAACACCTCCGCCTAATATCTGTCACCATTCAGGATAACTTTGGACCTGTTACTGTAGTAATAATCAGTACTCACTTCCCTGGGCAGCACACTTTGCTCCTTGTCTTGCAGAAAGATTGCTGCTATCCAATGTCCATGTTCTTCTGCCTCTCCTGGCACTTCCTGCACTCAGTGAACACCAGCAAGGCAAATCTGTCAGATATTTGCATTGGTAATACTAGACCAATGGTGGCACATCCTGTTCAGACTCACAGCCAAGCTGAAGACTGACAGCTCTTTCTTTCTCTTATTTTCTAGTTAGCCGGTAATGCTCAGCAGGACTTCGTGCCTCAGCCTGTACCTGCTGAGTGAAATACTCTGGTCTTAGACGCTGAGCACGTATATCCGTAAAGCGAACATTTCCTTTGGTACAGCTGGATGCAGAAGCCCTGCACTAATGTAGGACTTTTACACTGTTTTATGTTGTAGAGTTCTCTGAAATTTCCCTGGTTGTCTGGTGAGCCATTTGGCTTGGGGTTGGTGAGGGCCGGGGGCACAGGGAGGGATTGGACATACCACATTCTTCCACCAAACTGAAGTGGCAAAGGTAAATACTTTTTCATTTAAGGTTATGGGCTGGACAGCATTCATGAATCTTGTGATCCAGTGGAAGCTGTAAGGAAATCTGAAGCAATATTTGTCGGTAAGTTTTACTTCGTGCTCCCTGATGAGGATCTGTATAGGGCACTGGATTAGTCCTGCTCAGAGCTGGCACTGTAAGGACAACGATGAAAAAGTTGGGCCTGGCAATTATTAGAAACTACAGACAGCAGTACTTTAATTGGGAACAGTAAAACACTAAATTTAGTGGTGGGGAGGAAACTAGGAGAGATTTATTAATGGAACTTCATCTCCACTAAGTTTCAAATTATTCATTTGAACAGTACTTCAGTGTTAAAAACATGATCATCGCAGCTGTGTCATTACTTCCTCAAGAAGACGGAGGGCTACTGTGCTCAAACTGAGTGTAGTCCTAATACCATGCTCCTGGGTATTAGAACAGTGTCCGCTGTCAAACAGCCAGCATCAGTGTTACAAGAAGGACTCGGGGCCTGAGCCCATTGCGTCCCCAGTGACCGTTGTTCTGAAGCTTCTGGTTTTACTGCTGCTCAAAGCAGGATACTACCCTGAACAGAGCACAGAAACTGAGCCTGCCAAGTTTGTAAAGGCTTCAATTAAAACTGGTGGTGAAAGCATGTTAAATAAGCTGGACTCTCTTTCTGCAGGAGGTGGGAACACATTCCGTCTCCTGAAAGCTCTCTATGACAACAGTCTGATACAGGAGATCAGGAAAAGAGTTCTTGAGGTAAAAACTACAGAACTCAGCCCAAGTCTGAATGGCAGGATTTCAATGCATAAGCTTTTGTTCAGACAAATCCATGTCGATTCGACATCTTTGTTTCTGATATACTTCAAATATTGAGCCATTTCATGCAACCTGGTGAACTGAAATCTGTGACAAAATAAGGCTGTCAGTAGTCATTGAAGCCTGAAAAGACGTAAGGTCAGCAGTCTCTCTCTCTGGGGCAGTTTCCTGGATGTGTACCTTAGAAGTAAACCCCTCAACTTAAAATATCAATGAAGAGCAGTGCAGGATTTAATCTATGTGCAGAAACTCATGCCCACTTTGTATGTTGCAGATTGTCTGCTAGTGAACCAACAATAGAGTTGGATCCATACATACCTTTTAGACAACGTCCTCTTGGCATTGAAAATGGCATAATTACCTTGTGTACCTCCTTGACCTGGAATTGAGAGGTATGAGTGCCATTGAGCCCTTCCGGTCAGCAGCCCCATTCTGGCTGGTGAATCTCATTAGGCACAGCAAAGATACACCATCCATGGAGAAGAACAGAAGTACGGTGTTCCCCCAGCAATGTGGAACTGCAAACGACTTCAGGCAGATTTATGCAAGCACAGTATGTTTGAAAAGGCCAGCTGCCAAGAAGAAAGGTTAGCTAGGCTGTCTTAATATACAGAAATTCAATGCCTCTTGAGGGCAGAAAAGCCAGAAAATGTTTGAGTCCCAGTGAAGTCTAGATAACTATTTGGTTATATTAGCACCAGTTCTCTCAAGATAGCTTATTTTTACAAATTGTTCAGCATTATCCATATACTTGTGTGTTTGTGTGGAATCCTTCCATGTACAGCATAGGACATAGTACAACATACATAGCACTACTTTAGGTATTACTACTAAACTGGCTGGTCACAGTACTCGTAAGCTGATGCTGTGGTAACATGTACTCAGCTCCAGATAGTCAACTCTCTTCAGAAGCTAGTTAAAAGCTAGTTCAGATATCTCCTGTAACTGCAATGTAGACAAGGCTCTCCTCTCTTAATAGCGAAGTCCGGTATATGCACTGACAACCTTACAAGTTCTCTCTTGTGATGGGGTCACAGAGTTATGGGTACAGGACATTAAACAGCCAGTTCTCTGATGACCGTGACATATACAAACTATTGCCCACCTCAAAACCTGAATTCTTGTTCTTCTGCTTTTTCACCTGTAAAGGTAGCAGTGAGATGAGCTAGAAGGACAAAGTCTGATCTGATTGCCGAGTCTCTAAGATTGATAGAAGATGCTATAAGATGCAGTTCCTAGTTGTGATACTGCATACTAATCATTGCTTTTGTCTTTCAGGATGGGATTCCTTACATGGGATCCAGCGCAGGAACTAACGTTGCTACTGTCAGCATCAATACTACCAATGACATGCCAATTGTTTATCCACCTTCCCTGCAGGCCCTAGGTTTAGTTCCTTTTAATATCAACCCCCACTACCTGGACCCAGATGTTAAAAGCACTCACATGGGTGTAAGTAAAGCATGCCAGAGCTAACACAGTAACCAGGCTGCAGAGATGTTAATGATAGCATGCATTTGTGAGGCCTTACAAAGCTATAGAATGTCTAACAGCTGCTCCCGAGAGAAATCTGAAATGCCAGTGAGACAGTAACACTTTACTCCCTCCTAAAGCTTTTCTTTGAGTGGGAAGAGGTATCTGCAACAGCATTACTGAGGTGGAACAAACTGTTTTTCACAAACAGCAGCTTTACAATGTCTGAAATACTGTTGCTTCATA